GAAAAAGGTTGTTAAAGGTGTATGTACGGGTGCGAAACATAGACAGTGGATATAGAAACGGTTAGAAGCGTTTGAAATATACTGTTACAGGCGAATGATGAGGATACCGTGGATAGAGTAGGTTAGAACTGAAGAGGTATTAGAAAGAATAGGAGAACAGAGGACTCTGTCGAAGTCAATAAAAAATAAGCGAGATAGGTTAGTAGGACACCTTCTCAGGCATGAATATCTAGTCAAGAATATATTAGAGGCAGAAACGGAAGTTAAAAGGGGTAGAGATAGACCTAGATTAGATTCATCATCATTATCATCATCATAAGGTCGTCAGTCCTAAGACTGGTTGGACACGTACTGTTCGCAAATAGTTAAGGATATGGGTTGTTCTAGTTTTAGGGAAATGCGAAGATTAGCTCAGAAAAGGAAAGAGTGGAGGTGCATGTCCAATCAGTCTTAGGAATGACGACCTTATGATGATGATAAGGAATTGTTTAAGATCATAAGGTGGTTGTAGGAAAGGACAACATAAACGAAGGTAATCCCCTTCCCCCAACCTGTTTTAGCTCCGATCCGAGCAACATTTAGACATTTGTTAAGTATTCTACACAAGAGCTTTTCCCGCTTTACATTTTTGTAAGCATAATTTTAACTGACCATTCTCTTGCACGAACCCTACTTCACTGAAACGAATATAAGAGCCTTTTTTGATGTCTCTCATGATATCGAGAACTTATATGAAACACAATACAATTTTAAAATAGAAGGGAACTTGTTTTATAACTTTTAATGTTTCAAACTAAATTTGAACACGTAGATTTTCATTTACTTCTTTCGTTAGCTTGAACAAAATTATGATAATTAGTACAATGTAAAAACGTGTCAAGGTTTTTGCATTTACGTCAAAACTCTCCAATTATTACCTCTACACATTACTGTAGTTATTTACATTATATAGTTCTATCTATCTCGTCCGGATGCGAGCTTTCTGAGAATTCTAAGGACATTAAACTAAAGCCAAATTTGAAACTTCAATAATCACAATAATAATAGTAAACGATTTGATTTGAAATGCAATTACTTCGAATAGAAACCATCCCACTTAAAAATATCTAATCTACTTATTCACATAACTTCATCGCAATATTTGCCAAGTTCATGAAGATACAGTTACCGAATTTATTTTTTCTGCAACATCTTGTCAGACCTCCCGTTACTAAATCAAATAATATAAAAATAATATTTACCTTCATGAACTTTTCATTAGTCAAATAACAACAAATTCTTACATGTAACATTACATATACCGTAACGTTCTTTAGTGCTGGTAATGAAAGTAATCTTGATTTTAATCGAATTAAATAAAAAGTACACCTTTAATTTTTCCGAATTGTACCAAACGCTAAACATTCCGTTAGAGTGTTACGGTCTCCGATCGAGTTTGTGATTATAAAAATTTGAATTAAAAAATCGTGACTAGTCAAATTTGCATAAACATATCATTGTCAGATTGTTTTCCGACCGACCTAGCTGTTTGAATTCAACAGGCGTGAACATTTCGACAGATGCTTGTAGTTGAATGTGTACAGTCCTGTATCTTTAAATTAAATGAAAAATAGTAATTCGATAAAGGGTATAAATATCATTTATTTTATATAGTTGAAGAATAGAGAAGTAAATATTAGGAAGGAAATCAGACAAGGATGCACACTGTCACCGGTACTTTTTAATCTATACATCGAAGACGCGATGAACATCATTAAAGACAGTAAAACTGTAGCAATAGATATGCAGGGGCAAAATATTAGTATGCTTAGATTTGCAGATGGTAGAGGAGTTGGAGGTAGCTTTAAATAAGGTGGAAGCGGTATTGATAAAACAATACTGTATGAATATAAATAAAAGTAAAACAAAAATACTGGTATGAAAACTAAGAAAAAGTAAGGAAAGAGCGAATATAAAGATAGGAGACGAAAAATTAGAAGAAGTGGCCGATTTTAGGTATCTCGGAAGTTAGACAAGTCGGGACGGAAGCAGTAAGGATAGCGCAGGGTCGAGTCGCCTTCAATAAAAGGAAGTCACTTCTATGCTCGCAAACGATTAATTTAGAAACTCGAAAAAGATTGTCAAAGGTGTATGTTTGAAGTGTGGCGCTGTACGGATGCAAAACATGGACAGTGGGCGTAGAGGAAAATAAAAAGTTAGAAGCGTTCGAAATGTGGTGTTACGGACGAATGATAAGGATATCGTGGATAGAGAAGGTTAAAAATGAAGAGGTATTAGAAAGAATAGGAGAACAGAGGACTATGGAAGTCAATAAGAAATAGGCGAGATAAGTTGATAGGACCCCTTCTCAGGCATAAAGGTCTAGTCAGAGACATATTAATGGCAAAAACGGGAGTTAGGAGGAGTAGAGATAGACCTAGATTAGACTACTGTTCGCAAATAGATAAGGATGTGAGATGGTCCCGTTTTAAGGAAATGCGAAGATTAACTCAGGATAGGAAAGAGTGGAGGTGCGTGCCCAACTGAATGATGATTATCACAAAACTGTCCCGACCTCTGCTTTAGAGTAATTTTTATAAGAGAAGCTTGCACATAAAATATGATTTATCCTTAGTTTTACTTGCTGTGGTTTTCGCTTCAATTTATGTCAACTTTGACTGCGGTAGCTTCTCAAGCATGAGTGACATTATGTTAAGAAAGTAGGTGTTGCATTTATTATCACTTAAAAAGCCACAACAACAACAGAACACTACTCAAGCTTCTCTAATTAATTAGACCAAATAATGAGCATTTGCAATATTTACAATTTTACGACACTAAGCATTATTGTAAGTAATAAAATGCAATAGTTGTGACCCAATACCTTATTCTTTCAACATACTCGACACATTCTTTCTTGTTCGCTCAAAAAAATAATGCTGGAAGTAGGTAATTCTGCAAACGGATGATTCATTCGTTATGTTTATGTTTATGTATGAAAATACACGATTGCGTTCTGAAGACAATGGTAGGTGAAATACAATATTATTGATATAAAATTGCATATGCATCATCAAAATAGATAAATGCGCAGGTTCGTTGATCAACTAACACACCAATACAACCCATGATTGGGGCGCTATCAAGTTGAGCCAGTGGAGTGTAATTTTCCGCAGTTTTCATGTTAGATGACACCTCATATGGAAATTCACTGATTTAAAATTGAATACAGTGGTGAAACCTTGACAGTTCAATACTTCTTCCTTGTTAAAATGAGAAATCTCATTAGTTAAACTAAATCGAATTGACCTCTAAAACGTAAATCCTCGTTATAATGTAATAAAAATGCTACAACTTTGTCCTTGAACCCTAATTTATTGCATTATTTTCCACACAAAATAATGAAAGTGCTCTGTGCCCCTAATCATCCGCCAGCGCTGTGACTACTATACGAACTACAGCGAAAGAAGATTAGAAATGTATTGGGAAATGCGCAAAAAAAAAACAATTTTTTTCAATGTGCTGTTACGTCAATATGTAAATACAACACTAAAAGACCATTCAGTTCAAGAATGACTCGTTTATGTAACCACAAACAATGATAAATTATACGTATATTTGTACGAGCATGAACGCAATTTAGATTGTCATGCAATGCAGTTACTACTGAACATTACAAGAATAAATTATAATAAAACAGGTGAATTCAAGGAGAAATAATATTGTAATTGCGCTGCAAAAGCAATCGAGACTTTAACAGAGTGATAAGATTACAGCACTGATAACACACATCAAAGGACTTTATTGTACTAGAAAAATATTTCTACATGCAGAGACTTTAACAAATAATGCAAAGTGGGTAAAAAAATTAAGATTGTGATTACCTACAAGTCGAAACCAGAAATTGGCAGGTCCCTAATCAACATCATCCTACATCCTAATTATTTAGCAGTGTTTTGATTAATTATAATGCGTAAATGTGGGCTTAAGTGTTACAAGACCTGATAAGAAATTATTATCTAATACAGATACCATACAAAATTCTCAAAATTCCTACAAAAAATTCCTATTAATCCATCTATTTGATCACGTATTTATTTCGACATACGTACAGGAAATGGCGACTTTAAACACTGCATAAAAACCGTAATAAATTTTATTTAAATTTTATCATTTTTTTACACCACGTCCATAAAATATGATAGATATGTCAAAAAGCTCCAGGAAAATTTTTTAGTAGACCACCCAATAAGAAACGTTATTGAGAAAAGTAGACCGGTTAGGTGTTTTCCGATAAAAGAAAACATTATTGCAATTATGGTAGATAATAAAGCTGAAATATTACACAGTAATTAGTCTTTTATTTATTACCAATATTACTGCCCGAGCAATTATTGCTTGTCAATAAATACATTCCTATTTTAATGTATGTAATTTCTACTGATATACAATTTTAATGATTTTAGCAGAAAGATTTCAGTAAAAAGCAAAATCAAAATTCTTTTAATTTCTTATTCTTCGTTTTCTTTCTTTTCTAGTTACTGGTATAGCTACTAGAAAATAGAAAAAGTTTTAGAGATGCTAGATACCTATGTAAGTATGTGTTATTAGAATCCTAGTTCTGCTTGTCCTTGAATTAGGTAACTCAACAAAAAGAACACAAGAACTAAGGTCACACGTAAAGCAAGACAATTTACAACTATTTCCATGAATAATAAAAAGAAAATCGGCAATTTTTCCGTTATCTGGGTGAAAAAAGTGATTAAATTTTGAAAGCAGAGTACATATATCTAAACAAAAACTTCGCATAAATTATATTTAAAAGAGTTTTAAACCAACACGTAAAAGTACACATCTTTTTGACCCTTGAACCATCAAATCGTCATTAAAGTATGGAAAGCCATTGTATCAGTAATTACAGGACAATCAAAAAACATTATTTCTGTTCATGTAACCTTGTTTCTTCTTCGTTCGAAATATATCTAGTTGGGTGAAAACTTTTTTTATAACAATTTACTTACCAGAAATTTAAATTGATATCCAAAAGTTCCACACATTTAAAGTACCAAGAAGAAGATCCGTTAAAAAAATTCACACTAGAACCCCGCGATAATATTTCAAAAACTTATGGCACGAGGAGCAGAACAAGTCCTGTGAAAAGCCACACCAGCTGGTCCTTTTTTACCAACGGTCAAAGTTTCGAATACTTTACGTGCATACGTTTCAAACGGGCACATTTACAGATTGTCCTATTATTAAAAGCTTTCAAAAGCTACCTGAGTCGTGGTATAGTGAGTGAATTGTACAAAGGTGGATAATATTATTAACGCGACTCGAGAGGCACACAGGTAGGCACTTCGTACAAACAACCGACAGCGGAAACTGAAATAGCGGACGAACGGACAGACCGACGGCTGAGCGAGCGGCAGCCGAGCGTGGAACGGCGTACGTTATACACTGTGAGCGAGCTTATGCTGCTATTCTCACCTGAGAAAACATGCCATTTCTACCAATGACGCAGGTACAAGAACAAACCAAACCAACGGTGAGAGAAGCCACCGTACAGCTGAATGATTATTATTATGTCAACAGGGACGGATCGCCAAAATGCCACAACGAAATCTGCTAATCGATATTTACTTACTGCAGTAGCTCACGATCGGTTGTTTTTACAATGTACTGTACCCATTGTGTGACAAAAAAATCGCAGTGATCTCATATTGATGGCATGGTCAGGTTCATGGTCCTGAGCCCCACCAATAAAGGGGCCAATGTCTCTTGACAGATTGAGCTTTCTTTCACAAAAGCTTTTGGGTTTCCACAAACTGATGAGAGATTACCAATTCTCGTGCATGAGCAGTCCTTTCTAGAAATCGCAAATGGTCCAAGTTTGAAAATCGAAAGAAGAATAGCGACAATATTTACCAAAAAGAACATATAAAAAGAGTAATGACATTGATCTGTATTGGGATAAACCCTACAGTATCGATATCACAATTCCATTATACAGATTCTGATTCTGACTCAAAATTCAAGTAAAAACTAAGGTTATATGAAGCAATAAAGAAATACCAATACAAAGCTCCTCGAAGTTACTTTAGGCTTTCATGGTTATAGTCTGAAGATACTGGATTTCCAGTTTGATGAAATCCTCATGACGGATCATGATGGTTAAAGTTTTATCTCCTATCACAAAAGGCATTTTCAGGAAATTGTCAATGCGAGATCTTTAACACAGTTAGAATCCGGAAATCCTGTTTCTCCAGGGCTCCTAATTGATACTAATCCAAAAACGAATTGTCCATACCTACTGCTAAAACAAATTACACCCAGCAAACGAGCAAAATCTTTTGCTGAAGGACCTAGACAGCATCACTTTTACAATTGATATCCGTATCTTAACTTTAATTTAGAAATGACTCCCATTCACGCTTTACACTATCACCGCTTCCTACCAAAGATATTCGATCATCTTTCGGGCAGCGACCCTACCATGGTACGGAAGCGTAATTATTGATAAAACACCCTACAATATTGATGAAGCCTATACCGAAACATCCGCCCAAAACGCCCATCCATGAATCGCTTCCATACAAACGAAAAGAACCAGAACAGTTTTCCAATTTTTCTGTATGTTACATATGGAATTCAATTCAGATCACGTGGGTCCCATCCCATTCATAGAGAAACCCCAGTTTTCCATTTATCCTTATAAATTTGAAAACTGAAAAAATTTTCCAGGTTTCATAATTGATTTGAGCACTTGGTAAAATCTTTTACCACAGTTGATCAGCTACACTGTGAAATACATAAATTGTTTTGAAAAACTCCTTCAGGAATTCAACTTATCTCTTCTTCTCTGACATTTCTGGAAAACCTTTGCAAATTGATGAGGGACCATCAAATGTAATACTGTGTCTCATAATAACCCGAGGAGAATTAAACTGTAAAATGTTACAAAATCTAATGAGAGCGAGATAAAGGAATGTATACACTGGGATGTCTCAACGGCCAAAAACTACAATGTACAAAGAACAAAATTTTCTCTGGCTCTAATCCTGAAAGCAGGATAGTACTATTGTGCACAAGGGTTACTATAAAATTGCGACGGAATGTGACATGAAAATTGTAAGGCATATTATGTTAAAGAAGACTCTCGAGGAGTTTCTATCTTAACTATTTGTTAAATGACGGTAACCAGTTGTTTGAGTCCGGTTCTGTTCTAAAGGCCGGACATTGTCGTTAAGTTGCTCCTTCTCTTTGGCACGAGAAGACACATCTATTGCTGGCGACTGGCGAGGACTCGAGTTTAAAATTCAATTTTCATCTGGTGCCCTACAGCATCAGACCTGTTCGGTTTCTTTCACGTTTACATCTCAGAACCATGCGCTCAATACGTTTGTATCAACAGCCTCTCTCTGCTTGAGGCTAACCGTTATATTAACTACCTCAACTTGTCCTGCAATGCAACCTCATAACGCATACGTCCATATATATATATATATGTAGATACATATATACGATACTATAAAGTACATAACACTTATGTACCTGCACGTATTTATGGTGCTCCTAAAGCTAAATTTCCAGAAGTTAAGTAATGAAAATTAAAGTACGAAAGTTACACAAATGAGGAAATGCTAATATAGGAACTAATCTGAAATACCATAAACTATGCAGTTGAAGTACACAAAATTTCCATTTGGTGAAAGCTCACAAAAACGTATAAAACTCAAAGAATAAAGGCAGTAGTAATCATAACTGTTCCCTTATATTGACGATGAAAACTATTCCAATTTTCAAATCTTCAAAAATAAAAACATCACTGAGGTTTTGCCTGTTCCAGAGAAATATGATCTACCAACTGAAAGTTTGAGTTTGATAAAATCATAAATATTAGAAAAACAATTTCTGGGATTTTCGGTCCATTCACGTCGATACAAATAGATAGATAAGGGTGCGGACTTCACTATAATTTCCGGCAATCAGTTGGAAGCATTATAGGGTAAACTTTAAAAGGAGTCCTCAACTGTTAGGGTAAAGCCTATACTGAAATTAATATGGAATATTTCTGGTAGAAAATGTTGGTAATAGAGAGTATGAAATAAAAGTTAGATACTGCAAACTTCTTGGTCTTGAGTCATAGTTAATTTGTGAGTTCTGTATAAAATTTTATTCATTTCAACGTGTTCTTAGAGCAGAAACGTTAGCTTCTTTCTGTGTGTCGTTATGTCACTGCGTTTCTTTTTTTTTATGAAAAAGTACAACAAATTGTCATAAATAAATAACTCATCAACAAAGAAACATTCTGAAATTACTTATATCACAAGAACATTGGACTAATAGCCAATTTTATTTATAAATTTTTTTTCACTAAAAAAGGTACAAACTCCTCTTGATGAAGCCCACAAGTAATGGCGAAACATACGAGTAAACTGATAGTTTTTCGGTTTTTAAAGAAAAGTGCAATATTGTAATGTCGAATACTTAAGAAGAACGAAAAAAGGTGGAACTATTTTTCATGTTTAATTGATTTGTTAATAAATAAACAGGCGCGTGTTACTCGCACGTGTAATGTGACTTCCGATTTGTTTTTATTTTTAGTCGCGCCACGAATCACTGAAAACGAATTTAGAAGTACATCTTGAGTAGCATTTTCGTTCAGAAGGCACTAACTCCTTCGAACATGTTCTAACAACAGTTAACTTCCTGCATCCTGCGATTGTAAAGCAATTGATTTAATTGCAAAGCTATTGGTTACTCAGTGAACGTGCTTCTCATATCGCGAAAGAACAAACATAGCACTAGGGCTGATGTTCTTTCTATAGGTATTAGCTACAATAATAAGTCAAAAGAAAACGCAACACTGTCACCATAATTGTTATAGAATTTGAAATAATCCGAAATGTAGCAAGAAGTAATTGATGCTAAATTCAAAAGAAATTAATTGCATGACTTAGATGTATGTACAGCCTAAGTCATTTAAAAACTGCCAACAATTGACTATCTTAATTTTTTATATCTTTATACCATAGTTTTCTAGAACAAACTATTTCTTTACATGCTTCCTTACTTGTCTTTAGCAAAATTATGACTGATACTAAAATAATTTCTTAGTCTAAAAGATCCTAGCCAAAATAGGGTTGTAAATAATTTTATGATAATATCTATGGGCACACCACAATATCATATGTAACTTCCAGGATTTCACGGCCTACATACATCGATTCGATAGGTACTGTTTTTGATAAAGAAATTGCTTCTCTATCTCACACATTTAATACTTACGATTATATTTTAAAAGATAACAAAACACTAGTTATTCGAATATGTGCACATCACAAAATTAGCAGGAATTTATGTAAATAATAAATTACCTACCTCTGGAAGCATTGCACCTGTTTAATAAGTTTTAAACACACAACTACTAAAAGATATTCCTACAGCAATTTTTGATGCTGAATTTCAATATTCAAATGTGAAAGTGTCTTCTACTGATAGTAAGGATAATTATCCTTATTTCTATTTGTTTGAAAAGGTCTCTTGGCATTTTCATTTCACTTTTGTAACCGCACCAATTAACGGTTCTTATTAACAAACAATTAAAAACTGTAACCGATGTCAACAATTTGATAAGTCCTGAATGTACAAGTTCTCCGTTTTATACTGAAGACGATTACAACTAAAATGTAAGTGACTGAGACCAATTGAGGACGGAGGTGAACGTCTTGTAATAATGATGAGTTAAAAACCAAATAGCTAAATTGTTTCTAGAGAGTAATGATAATAATGCAACCGTTTTATTTCAAATTAAGCTGTTTTAGAGAAAAATAAGTCTGTACAAACTGTTAACATATGAACGAGACACATTACTTCAATTGCGACAAACAATTAAAACTACACCACAAGAAATATTTAGACGCAACTGTCCAGAAGAATTTTAAACTTAGTATCAGAACTATTAATTTATAAACAAAATAATTATTATATATTACAGATAGTAACTGATTCTAATTAAAAATTATTACTACAAAGTCACCATTTGAAGCCCTATTTGTATTAACTAAAGATTATTTATTACACCTACGTTAGATTCATAATGCCCGAATTAATATATACATTTTTACCATTCAACCGCCGAATGATATCAGTGGCGTAGTCAGCTTTTGTCAAAGATAGAGGTAAAGATAAAAAAGGT